TGCAAGTATATATGCAAGTGTGTATGTAAATATTATATATATATATATAATCATTAATCTGTTCACTTTTTTTTCTACAGAGCACAGAAACTCAAGTTCCGCATTAACATGTACAATTTGAGAGAAAACCGCGAGATGACTCCTAAGAAGTTTATGAGTCTGGTGTCTACACTATTATACGAAAAAAGGTATGTTCTAATAAATATCGTTAGTACAGTACTATACTTGCGAATAGAAGACTGTAGTGTTTATACTTATCTACCCATGGTATTCATTATAGTACATTGTTGTCAAATATACCACGGTTGCAGGATGATCTGTCTCAGATGGCATGTTTCTCTGTAGAAGTTTGTTTGAATTTACACCTCAACACCGGTGTCATTAACAAATTTACCTTTATACTGTAATATGTTTTCAAGTCCATGGTATGCAAAGTACGGATAAAAACTGTGTTGTTCGCGTATGGGATATAACGACAAATTCATTATATAACAAAGCGCGATGTAGCAAATTAGTGCTGCCACACAGTTGTTTCAGTGGTTGCCTATACACTCACGGGAACTCGTCTCTGTCACACACGTAGGTGTGACATCGTGTATTTAAATCAATTCATGATGCTATATGTATGCTACTCACAACATCACACTACCCACTCTTTCGCACCAGATTCGGCCCATTCTTCATCGAACCCGTAATCGCCGGGCTAGAGCCAAACACCAACAAACCATTCATCTGCGCTATGGATCTCCTGGGCTGCGAGAACGTCACCAACGACTTTGTTGTCGCCGGAACATGTGCAGATTCATTATACGGAATGTGCGAGAGTCTCTGGGAGCCCGATCTGGTAGGTAGTTTGTTTCTATAGGGAATAGTTGGTGCCTTCGGGGTGTGAGCGTCCAAGTGACATTCAATAAATGCCCTGGGTCTATGTATACGATATGGTTTTGACTTCTTGTTTTCATTATATAAGTAGATACACATGCACCTATATATATATATATACATATATATATATGTATGTATGTATGTA